ACTACTACTGCTACTACTACCACTGCGCAGTAGCCATTTTGGCTCAAGTGTTGCGGGTGCATTCCGAAACCTCCAACGAAGGACTGGCAAGACTTAGCGGCACGGGCTTTTGGTGGTTTGCATCTGCCATCAAGAAGCCATGGGCAACTGGCGCACCTGCCAGGCTTCGCCGGCTTTGCCAAGGCGAGGCTACCACAGCGCCCAAACAGTATGTCGCTCCGCTAGCCAGGAACGTTTGGTGAGAGTGGAGATTCAGGACGTTTGAGTGGCTTGAGAGAAAGTGGAGGGCCGGGGAAGGCGGCAGACTTGGAGACAGCGATCACGATGAACACTTATGCAGGGACAATTTTGGTTTAACCCTAGGCCCGAGGAAACGAGGCGCACTCCGAACTGGTGGAGACCAAGGATGCTCCTCAGGCTCCTGCGCGGCGATCACTTCATCAATTCCGCAGCCTGGAGTTGAATCTCTGCTCCCCAACGGGCTGCTGCCTGAAGGCAGCACTGAAAGTCTGCGAGAACTTCAACAGAGTCAAGGACTAGTGGGAACGTCAGCTTCCGCTGGATGCTTCTGGAACCGTGCCGGGATCATGGCTTGCGTCAGTTCAAAGTCTACTGCTTGACCTGTGCTCGAGTCTACAATGACAATCCTCGCGTTCAGAACCATTGGGCGAAGCAGGGCATTCAGACCCTGGGCGGACTGAGGCTAGAACACGCGCGACACCATGAAAGCAGCGAGACGCACCAGAGCGCTGTGGCATTTTTTTTGCGCGTCCCGAATGTGCCATCAGCCGAGCCAGACACTGAGACTACAAGTTGTCTTAAAGTGGCGCTGGCAACCTGCTGGAGCTCGCTTCGCAGAGGCGAGAGCTTCATGGCAATGGCTGCGACTGGCGGCAGCACTGGCAACCGTCACAAGGCGGAGAGACTGGCTTTTTGCATAGGCCAGGCCTGCCAGGCGAGAGCGCGACAGACGTCAGCCGCGTGCATAATCGCCCTCCACCAAGACCGATTCCAATCTGTTTTAAGACATCTGCTCGAAAGTAGAACTGACGGCGCGGGTCACTTCGTCTGCTCTGTGCGCAATCGACCACACAGCCAGCACTTTTTCCGAATTGCCGGGTGCTTTGCCAAGACGCCACCCATAGCGCGAGAATATTGACGAGGAATCCGTGGGCTGCGGACCACTTCTTGAACGCCTTGGTGGCGGGCTTCATCAATGGGCACGGCTCCATAGTCACTGTCATCCAAAACAGTGTGGATCTTAGGCACGTTTTCGCCGGCAACGTGACAGGATGCGATGCAAATAAGGCCGACAGTTCAGGGCTCTTGCGACGGGGAGTTTTCCGGTCATGGTCTTTGACTGTTCAAAACACTCCAAACCGTTGCGTCGGTCTGTGACTGTCTTTGACAGCGTCTGGAGGACTGGCTATATGTCTTTCTCCTATGCACCTCGAAGTCTTCGAATGCTTGTTGTGTGCTAGTTGCCTTGCATGGTTGTACGTAAGAAGGCTTCAAAAGCCGTTGGCGGTTTTGAGTTTAGGGTATGAACTCGTGAGTTTGGGATTGCTGCCAAGATTCTAATTGCTGACAGCACACGTTTCGGAGGATTTCGGTTTCTCAACGCTGTTAGATATGTTTCGTCTGTGACCTGCACGTACCCAACGCGCACGAATTGGACCGCCTACGTTTTGTTAAGGTTTTCGTCTTGCAACTGGAGGAGACGTGTCGGAGTTGCAGGCATTCGGAGGCCCAGGCCTCTGGCGAGGCTGACTTACCAGATGCGAGCGGCGAGCTCCTGACAGAGGAGAAAGCAAGTGAGAGGCCTTCCTCGGCTGGAAAGGGCGCCTCAACTTTGGAGAGGGTGTAAGGCTCAGGGCTTTGATTTGCAGATTCATGGGTTCTGTACTAAACATGCTTCTACCTTAGACTGGTCGGATACCCTTCCTGCGAATTGTGAGGTCACCTCCCAGTTGGGCACTTTGCTGCGCCTGCAACAATGCTAGGCCGCGTCTCTTTCCATAGCTTCCAGTCTATGCTTGATGTCTTGCCAGCTTCCGCCTGCAGGCTATTTTCAAACGGAGCCTGAGCCCTTCAGCCTCTTCTTCCCATGCCTACGTGGGTATCCTGCAGGACATGCGATACCCATATGACTTCTCGGACTGGCCCGGCCCTCGAAGAACTCACCCGCTCTTATCCTGCGCTTCCCTCGCGACCTTACCTAGGTTGTAGCATGTATATCAAATTTCTCGGAATCGGTCCTCAGCATTTGGGTGAGGCCTGGATGGCGGAGAGCACAGGAAGTAACAACCGCCCCACCGACACCAAATGATTATTCTGATGGAACTCGCTCACTGCTATGACCTGCGGAAGTTCACCTCTCTCAACGCTTTGTCGACCGCTACCGTCACGAGTTGCAAGCTCGAGCCGTCAGAGCTGGCCTGAAAATGATCTACGCCTCGGCCCACCCCAACAACTCCACTGAATGGTGGCCTACCTGGGACTCCTCCTTCACAGTCCGGGTTGGAACGCTGAGGATTGCAGGTTCTTCGTGTGGACATAGTGGTCTCATGCCGCAGACTGGACAACCTTGCAGGCACCCCGGGCTCCACTACAGACTGGGGCCGCCACTGGGAGGATCTCTGCATCCATCACTACAATTTCCCGCGCTCTGATCACTGGCAAAGCATTTATCGTGCTACCGCTGCTTTTCGATGGCGACTTCAGAGAGGCGACGGGAAACTCCACATCCTTTTTCACTACTACGCAGGCGTCAATCATTCGGTTCGCGACAGCAGCTATTGCTTTCCTCATCACGGACCGCAACATCCCGCTGCGCCGTCTCATCACACGCCTGGCTCGAGCCCGGCCGGGAATTCACCCCACTCATACCTTGCACAGGCATCGAGGACACTATGGCCCCCTCGGTGGTTATGGGAAGGCGTTCAGGGCCACTGGTTTCAGTACCAGCCTTCGCAAGAGTCAACATAGTGGTACCTCGACGCTGCACGACGAGCATTGATATGTTTTCATTCCGAACCAAGAAGAGACCTATTTACGCCCTCACCTGACCATCTACCACCACTAGGCCCGTTTTACTTGACAGGGCGCAGACGTACGGTTTTGGAAATATGAGAGGCACAACCAGGACAGTATCGGCCCACGTGTAGAAGACGTTGTCAAGGCAGATGTTATGAATGCCCGATGGTTTTCGCTGCGACCGACGCATCTTCATCCAGAGCAGCAATCTGGCAAAGTCTGTGGTCCCCCCACTTTACGTGGCGGGGACGAACAGAATTTGAGTTGGCTTTGCAGAGCCCCAACACGGACGGTGAGGTAAGCTTTCGACGAGCATCATCCTACCTGTATGCCTATCCGATTGTAGGTGCGCCCTAGCAGTGATGAAAAGCCCCGAGTCAAATCTCTGAATAAAATACCTAGGCGCGGTCGAGTTTGGAAACGCTTTCAGCCGGATCTAAATGAGACGCAAATCCATGAGCTGGCTATGCGCTATCTTTGCTTTCACACTTGCCAGCTCCCGGCTTCACAGCTGGCGCTACGAAATCTATTATTTGACCAGTCCTGGCAACTAGGGGGTGCTCTAGTTGTTCGGCTGGAAGCTTGGAAATGGGTCCCAGAGCAGCTCGATCAGCATTCGTCGATCAAACCAATCGCGTTGATGCTGTCCTTGCAAGCAGCGCAGTCTCTGCTGCGTACAGCGAGGCTATCTGTAGTCTGAACAGGCGGGACTGACCTGCTGCGGAAATAGCTGCCGCAAGCATGCATTTAACTGACTTGGCACACCTGCTTCAGCCTCAGCCACAGCCTTTCCTCAATTCCTCCTGACAGTAAAGCAGAGCGACTTCCCAGGCCACATTGCCGCGCTGACTCTCTGGAGCGGCTGCAAAGTGCATATGCAGCTCCTATCACACGGCATGCTAGGCAATGCCTCGATTCACGCCGCCTGCCGTGCGCAGCCATAGGTAAGCCAGTGTTTCACGCTCTCCGATGCCCGCCAAGCTGCGGGACAACCCACGTGAGCGTCTGAATGAATAAAATGAATGTTGTGGCTGTCGTCGTCGTCGTCGTTGTCGTCGTTGTCGTCATTGTTGCTGTTGCCACTGCATCTACTTTTGCTGCTGCCAATGTTGTTGCTGCTGCTGCTGCTGTGCCCTTAAAGCCTAACGTCCCAAACCCTGAAACCCCAAACCGAAACGCCAGAACCTTATGCCTTGCACTCTGCATCCAAAAACCGCAATACAGGATCCAAAACCCCATGCCCCCAACCCCAAACCCTAAACCCCAAACCCTGAACCGCGAATACTAAACACGACCAGGATGATCCTGGACACCGACCTAGCGAAGCATTTCGAGCAGGTTGGTCGTGGGGGTTTAGGTTTTGTTCGTGAGAAGTCTTCGGGTCTCTGGATTTGGAAATTGAAGGCTTGAGGTTCTTAGCACGGGGCTTTCGAGGTTTCGGGACTTCTTTGCTGGCTTTCGTGCCCAGGGTGTTGAGGTTGAGAAGTTTTAAACTTGGTGGCTTCGAGCGTTTATGTGTTTGGCTCACTTCACTGTGCTAATATTTTTTGTTCAGGGTTTTCGGGCTTGGGCATTGCGGTGTTGAGGGTTCAGGCCTGTGGTTTTAGGGTCTCGGTCTTAGGGCTGGCCAGTTTTTGGGGTAGCTGCCTATGAATGCGGCGACACAGCACTTCGGCTTATGTTATCCTTGGAGGATCAGACGACTTACTAAGTAGGGTTGTGACCAACTACCCGTGCTACACCTTAAACCCTACATCCGAAGCTGAACTCTGAACCCCAAACCTTGAACCGCAAACACCCGGATTCAGAGCCGCTGTGCGGGCTTAAGTGTGGTCCAGGGCCACTGCATTGCTTGATCATTTCAAGGGTCGCCTTCTTCCTATGAATGCAACGCTTATGAGTGTAGTTAACGGTTTCAGAGCATTACCGTTGTCGTGCTTTTGTAGACCATTGTGGTTGGGTTGGCATCTTTCCAGGATGTGTTGCTAGTGATGGTGGCAGGTCCTGAGTATTCAGTCCTAGCATCCTCTCATAGACCGACAATGTCCGAGAGACTATCCTAGCCCAGCACTCTTTTCGCAATCTGCAGGCCCCGAGATATGTCATGCCAGTACTGTGACTGTTTCGCCTCGCGATTTCGGTTGTTCCCCATCTCTGGGTGCCCCGAAGAAGTTTTCCGACGACCGGGGTTCAGGGTTTAGGGTTACAGGTTTTGGAGTTGAGGGTCTAGCATGTAAGACCCTAAACCATAAAACCCTGAACCCTAAACAGTTTGGGGTTTACGAAGGCTTGGGGTATGCAGTTTGGGTTTGAATGCAGTCCTAGAAGAATCTAGAGCTTCAAAGCGGGGAGCTCGGGATTCTGCCATGCCCTTCCATTTGGGTTCCTTAGGGGCTTCGTTGAACATTTCCGTTGAGGGTGCCTTTACGGATCCTGTACGGCGTTATGGGGTTTCAGAGGGCTTGTGGTCCCTCAGGGTGTCCTTATCAAAACTCTATAATTAGTAGCGCCTAGAACTATTGGGTCACATAGTACATAAGATCTTAAAGCCCAAACCCTAAACCCTAA